GTCAATGGGGACTACTCTTCTTCGCCACATCCTTCGTTTTCCCGAGCCAGAAACTGCCGCTTGGGATGTAACGAGTTGTCAGTATGAATTGTGAGTTGATTACATCCTGTATGTTACCAAGACATAAACTTTGCATTATCATGTGTCGGAGGAATATCTTGAGCAATGCCTTATGTGTAGATCAACCGTTCCTGTACATGTTCGATTGAATAGAAAGGACGTGTGCCGCCATTTACACCCATGAAGCCTAGCAAAATGTTGATGCATTGTTCCAACGAGTGTGTTTTTGTTCTGATTGCCATGAGTGAATTTTGATAATATTGGAATCACATAGTAGCTCGAAGTTGAGGTGGGTCTTCATCATGCTGTATCAGTGAAAAATGTCATCTTCATCAATGCATCAAAAGAAACAACTAGGCAAATCGATCTCACAATGGACAGGCACACTGACGTTATCGTGTCAGGTATTTTTTGCAAGACGATACATGACACTTGTGGCATCTCTCCAGTAAAAGTACCAATGTTGTACATTTTGAATATTCTGAAGGGAGTCGGTCTTAATTTCTAACGACGATTTTCACATAATTGTTTACACAGGTATCACTGATTGTTCGAGCCATTTTGAATTCATGACTGGAAATCTAAAGTGTTAAGAGGAATTAGAAAATAAATAGATTCGTATTATATTTATTCTAATTGTGTTTCATTGTATACATACCTGTTTATGTTACACCTGTAAAATTAACAGGTAGGTGTAAAGGGTATGTTTTACACGAGTAACAGGTTTCTGTTCGATTGAAGCCCAAGCAAACCTATCAATGAATTTTAATCAGGGGAGTAGTCCGTCATAACCCGACCTCTAGGTCATCACCCATGGAGTAGCCAATCACGGGATTAGAAATCGATCTCACACATATGTGATACCGCTTTTTCACATGGGTTTCTCACCCACGGGTGTGTAAGAAACATATATACTAGTGTTTGTGTAAGTGCAGAATGATAGGTTACAGTTATGGTGGGCAGTGGCGCTTATGTATGTATGTATGTATGTATGTATGTATGTATGTATGTATGTGTGTGTGTGTGTGTGTGTGTGTGTGTGTGTGTGTGTGTGTGTGTGTGTGTGTGTGTGTGTGTGTGTGTGTGTGTGTGTGTGTGTGTGTGTGTGTGTGTGTGTGTGTGTGTGTGTGTGTGTGTGTGTGTGTGTGTGTGTGTGTGTGTGTATGCGAATGTATTTAACATTTGGCTGGCATCGACACAGTTAAATGGATGAGTATGTATGGTAGGTAGGATGAGAGACACATGTATGTGTGTATTGCTACAGTAACGGATACTTGTACTGGAGGACATGCGGGATGGAATTCCTGTGTCCCCTTGTATTAATGGTGTTTCTTTTCCTTTTTAGTGTTTCTTTTACCATACATCACATGTTCCTTAATTCCCCATGGGTCATAATGGCCGGGCACTGTAAATACCCTTTAGAAATATCTAGTATTTATCTGCTGTACAATGCGTGACGCTTAACAATTTATCATCTTCTGAAAACAATAAAGTATATGGTGACAACATAATTATTGACACTGTTTTCAGCAACGACCCCCCTCTAAATCCAGATTAAACCAAGACACCTGCATGATGGTTGTCGACAACAATACACACGTCTCAGTTCTGATTCAAAATTCAGTCGGGGGCCATTTGTTCAAAGCGATCATAACACAACGAGTGTTTGTAACTCCCGTGTTCTATTATCACAAGCCCAGACAACCGTAGCGCTAAGGTAGCTTTGTGCATGTGGGTCCTACAAATTAAACCATGCCTTTAACTCAAACTATATTTCGATACGTGGTTCATACGCAGGATGTAGCAGGTGATGAATCTCCTCCCCAGGTTTTGCTTAAAACTGCAGTTTAACTACTTGCTCTGGTTACCTACGTCAACAATTCCAATACTTAATCCCAGAGGTAAAGATGAATTGCAATGACTGTATCATATTTCGTACCTATTTCAATAGATTCATAAAGATAAATTGTAATTCATGCATCAGGTTACTGACCAATGCTGTTTTTATCACTATCTGCATAGAATGCTTGTATTGACGGTAATGTCAATGTGATTTCGAATACCAGAAATAGATACTCCGTAATAATTTACTTACATTAATTCAGGTAAAATTGTCAACATTTTTAAAGGTATCTTATAGAAATAATGCTTCTAGTTCCTTTGATGGGGAGAATGGCAGAAGAAACTTGTTCATTTGACCCGTTTATCAGATATGTTATCACTAGTGTGATGTGAAATGGCATAGATGTTTATTTTGCAGCACTCATTATATTGGACAATTAACAAACACAACTATTGTTAATTATTCGATAACGAGGAACAATGCAGAGAACATAATACTTCGTAATTGGTCGATAAAATGTTTTATATCAAATAATTCTTCTTTTAGAGGTGGTAATACCTCCAGAAAAGATGTGATTAAGGAAACTTAAGGTGTGTTTTGTGCAAAAGACATGAAAAGGAACGTTTGGAGAAACAAATAAAGAGTTCCACTTCTTAAATATATAGGCCTTTATCACTTGTCGCTTGGGAGATTGAATATTTCACAGAAATATCCGTGGAAAGAATCTCTCTTCATGAATCAGTATGGCTAATTATGAACAAACAAGTGCGTATGTGCGTTTGTAATCAAATTTAGGGTCTTCAGCTGAACCAATTTAACTTGGACTGCGGGGCCAGCGAAAGAATACACTTATCTATGATCAATGGTGACGAAATATCTGAAACTATATGAATCTCTGAATAAAGCCGCGATATCCCACCAACGAGACGTAACCATCCAACTCATTTACAGACCCGTGAAGATCCGGGTTAGAAAATGATTTTCAGCAACCCATGCTTGCCTCCCCTGTGAAGATCAGGGTTAGAATGGGTCTTCAGCAACACATGCTTGTCGTAAGAGGCGACAAACGGTATCGGATGGTGAAATGTGCTGACTAGATTGACACATGTCATCGTATCCCAATTGCGTAGATCGATGCTCATGCCGTTGATCATTGTATTGTCTGGTCCAAACTGGATTATTTACAGTCGCTGCCATATAGCTGGAATATTGCTGAGTGCGGCGTAAAGCAACAACCAAATCTTTGCGTGTTACAAGTTGATAATCTGTAGTCGCCTTCTCTACGACAGCAGGGTTACGGGACCTGTTGAGTCATTGATACAGTTCTCGTGAAATACAGCTGATTTTTATGCCAGTGCCCAACTGTTACACCTGCACTATCATTTAATACAACAACGTAAACAGTACTGATTAATCAGACTTTATTTTTGCTGAAGCGTAGAGATCAAATCATATTACGAGGTGAAATAAATTAACAATATACATGGTTACAGGTAAGTCAATATATAATACTGTGTATGTATGTGTATGTATGTATGTATGTATGTATGTATGTATGTATGTATGTATGTATGTATGTATGTATGTATGTATGTATGTATGTATGTATGTATGTATGTATGTATGTATGTATGTGTGTGTATGTGTGTGCATGTGTGTGTGTATGTATGTATGTATGTATGTATACGTACGTACGTGTGTGTGTGTGTCTGTCTGTCTGTCTGTCTATGTATGTATATGTATGTGTGTATGTGTTTGTGTGTATGTGTATGTGTGTGTACGGATGGGCGTGTATGTATGTGTCGATAGATAGATGGTAGACAGTTCAGATAGATGACAGACAGACATGAATATAGACAGATCAGACACAGACAGACAGTCAGACAGACAGATACATAGAAATAGATAGAAAGATAGATAGATAGATAGATTAATAGACAGATAGATAGATAGATAGATAGATAGATAGATAGATAGATAGATAGATAGATAGATAGATAGATAGATAGATAGATAGATAGATAGATGAAAAAGTAGAGAAAGATTACATATATTATATTACAGGTGTCTACATGACCACCGAGAGTCTGGTTCGAATCTCAGTCAACAGTGACTCACTTCCACGTGTCCTATTAGCATTTAGACCATAGACCCCAACCGGCTAACAAGGTTTACACAGTTCAAACATGATGATGGACATACAATGGCTGCACATCTCACGAATGATCAAATCAATCCAATTCTATTCAACTGATTTTACCCATTTGAAAGATAAGTGCGCTGTACATAATATATTATTTAGATTGATGAAATACCATCCACAAGGCTAAGTGACACACGGGATGACTTTCCACATGGTCAATAGTTCCACATTTTCTATCTGAATGATAGAATACATAAACATATACGCTGATACCTTGCTGCCGTAGCTGGTTGTGGCGATATTTTACTATACCACACACCCATCGCATGTTTCACTTCTGTTAGATGGAAATACATACACTGGAACTTGTATTTGCTTCGCATTTGACAGAATAACTTTTCATACTCCTGCGATCTTTCTGACCGAAGTGAAACACCGAGGAACACATCATGAAGAGCACCTGAATTCTTTTTGTGACCGAACTGATGGTCAAATACGTTTCTCGTTTTAGATGACTGGATGGTGAACACATTGCAATTGTATAATAAACATCAATAAACTATTATCAAGTCAATATCAACATTTTAAGAGTGCAGTAAGGGTATATTGGAATGATAAGCAAATGATATCGTCATGGCTTATTCAGAAGCAATAATTAAGTGGGATTCATATTCATATATGTTTGAGGTGCTGTATATGTACAAGTAGACGACGAAAGCTTGCGTGTTTGTGCATCAGTGTAATCGACAAGTTAAAGTGTCGTCACGTAAGGAACAACTCTTAATGCGACAAATGATGTGATGCATGATGCGACACATGGTGACACATGGTGTGATGCATGATGTGAAATTATGTAACAACATAGACGGAAGCCGCGGTGGCTGAGCAGGCTAGGGTGGCTGACTTTGAGTGCTGGCGATTAGGTGCCTGACTCTCAGGGTGTGGGTTCGAATCCCGCATGGGAGTCAACTCAAGAAAAAGTACTAGAACCTGTACTGAGAAAGTGTAATCCCTATAATAACATATGTTACATTTGTCCATCTTGTAAATGGCATTGAGTGTTCATAGACGCGTTGCAGAACACTGGAATAGAATGAGCTGGCAGAGACGATAATTTCCCTGCATCAATACACATTCATATATAACATACTTGTTACCTATAAGCCTGGCGTTGCGTTTGAAGCTAACGTTACAAATACAGAGGCAATGTCTCCATGTGATGTAGTGACATGTTCAGACACTGGAAAAGTCTGTGGTATTTGGGTCTCTAGTTTGGCTTTTTAAGTTCGGATGTTGGCATAGGTATTAGCAGGGTCTGTCCTTCTGGATACATTGCTGTGCAAGGTCATGAAACATCTGCACATCACTCTGAAAAAGAGAAAACAAATTCTGAGATCATTTCTTTATGCGTGGTTTCTCAAGTATGATTTCAGTTCATCTCAGATTTATGTGTTTATTATGGTGCATTTTCAACTTCCTTCTGATCTGATGTTCAACAATCGGACGTATATAAGCGCAAGAAATGTATACAAACTAAAACACATGCCTTTTGTAGGCTATGTAACATTTGGAGTTTAGTAAAATCAATGTTTCGACAGCACATATAATAATACTATCGAATATATACAATATACAATCATGCACCGTTGTCTCAAATGGGAACTACGTAACTACTCGGAGGTCTGACACAACCGCAAGTGGATGACCAAATAAGGAAGAGACGCAGGGGCACCTGTTTACTTCGAGACAGCAGTAGGTTCGAGACAACGATGTCTGACTGTACATGGGTGAACTTGTACCTGGGTGAACTGTAGGTCAGGGCAACATCGTAGGAACATCCTCACGTGACCGATGACGTCAATACGACTGTCTTCACGAATACCAGACAGAATATTACCCATGATGCAGAGCGAGACAGCAAGTTTTCCATGGTTTTGCTGCAGTTTAAAATGTTACGTGTGAACATGCGTCATTGTTAGTTCTGTTTCTACTGAAGTCAGGAAATGTGCTTGTCGTACATTGGATCGGGTTATCTAATAGTATACAATTAACTTGAGCTAAACTTGGCATCTCCATCCATTAAATAGGCCAATGAGTCACACAGTCAGAACTACTTCAAACACTCAAGCAATGGGATATATACAAACGATGTGTCAATCATTGTGACATAATTAGACATGGGTTTCCGGAAGTATGTCTATGACATCAATGCCTTACAGCACTACTGAGTGATATGTTATCATTCTATCAACATGTTTAATTTGAAACTGAGTATAAAAAGGTGCAAACTTCGATTACTTTAAAACCTTAAAAATATATATGATAATCAATTCATGACCAGAATAACAATTCGTTTTACTCATAGATTATTACATTTTGGGCAGTTGAACATATTTTTATATTTTAATTCTGGAGGCATTCCTACCTGTGAACAACAACAACAGGGGTGGTCTGAGTAGAGATATCTTGCAGGTCCACGTGGTTTAACAAATGCGATGTCACAGTCTCCATGGTCAGTTGGGCATCAGCGTTGACCATCTTCACCCTCCGTGGACTGTCCTCCCCTGTGTTACAGGTGTGAAATAGTGCTAGACAAAACACCCTGGTGTTCTTTGAATACTTCTACTATTATGTTGTGTACCATGTCCCATATTAAAAGCCTATACATCACCTATATATGAGGGCAGAAAGGAATGAACTCACATGCATGTATATTGTTTTGATCATTATGTCCGATATTAAAACTTGTATTTTTGTGTGGAAGGCAGCATCACTCTTATCTTGTCAAATACTTGTATAGACGTTCCCTCTCATCAAACAGGGAGATGTAACAGGTTGCGTTGTCGTAAATGGCAGTGGCATACAGACACCTACTTGCTTTTCGTGACTAACTCTGTGTGTTCCTCCGGGACAAGCTGAATAGCGACTCGTACCCTGACATTATGTATGAACATGGAACAACTTCAATCAAGAACGACAACTTCTTGTTTGATTCCAATGATACCTAACATCACCTGAAGTACTGGCATTTTGTATTGATGGTTTGTTTGGGTTTATTTTATCAATATATTTCTTTTAAAGAATTGAAAATATTGATACTAACAGAAGATGAAATAACTATTTGTTTAACTCCATATTCTAATGTGATATTATCAGGGATTCACCATATATTTCCAAATGAATATTTCTGAATAGGGTTGAATCAAAACCGGAATAACAAATGGGAGGGAACCTTTGATTATGGAATATGCTAACAACTTCATTTTTAAAATTCAGCTTCAAGGATATGAAATAGGGTTCCCAAAAACGGGGACATTTATAATATGCTAATAACTTTTTTAAAATCATTCATGAAAAAATGACATTCGTGTAACCAAACTTGATGGAATTTTTAAAATGAATACGCTGAATACATTATGAATGACCGCAGAAACGTCTGACAAAAATATCCCCAGAGATGTGAAATGTAAGTCCAATGTTACAGATTAAAGTTGATTTGATTGGTTATATAGTATTATAGTGTTAGAACCTCGTAGTGATTTAAAAATTATGATTACTAAAAATATCAGAAAGCACACGTAAAATCTCCAAAAGATGAGAACTTCTTGCCCATCCTTCGAGAGTTTCAAAGCCCATTTGAAGACACATCTCTTCAAAAATGTATTCAGATTGACATTTCATCTTTGCCATGTTCAGCGCTTTGAGCATATGATTTATGGATAAGGGGCTATAGAAATGCTCATTTATCATTATTATTATTATTATTAACAAGTCCCACAAGATCGTCAGAGAAAACATCACAATTATGTTAGTAATGTTCTATGTTCACTGTCAATATGTCAATATAGCTTTTTATGATTTTTTCAACCATCACGTAATACATAAAAGCATTTAAGTAACGGGATCAATTTTATCAAAGCACCGCAATCATTACGCGCGTTCTGATTGGTTTGATTGAGTCGCCCATGGCGAGAAGGCCTTACTTTTGTAGCAAGCTGGAGGTTCATCATGGAGAGGTCTACTGCCAGGTTTGTGTGACTCGTTGTCGTCACAGTGAGCCCCCGTGCGTCTTGGATCTGCCCTCTGCTTCCAGCTAAGCCAAGCTGAAACAGGAACGTTAAAACATTAAACGTTCACCCTGATTACTAGGAACACGTATATTACTGGAATGTTGAATAAACGGATGGCAATACCATGTGGCCAGGTTTTTTTACTTCTGCCAGTTCAAACATGTAGGTGTCATGTATTAAAAAAAACTAAGTAAGGTGAAAATATCACCAACAGAAATTAAATAGCTACTGCTTTGGAAATAGTATTTTACCAATTTAGAGCATGAAGCTTAAGGAACATACACTATGGCTTTAACTATTTGAAAAAGATTATATTTGGCATACATTTGGCGTGACGACGATGATGTTGTGGACGTTGTTCTCTTCTACCAGTTTCCACAACAACTTCACCAATCTAGAGGGTGGGGCAACGGCCTGCAGGAACCCCTCAGACACGTCAGAGTCTAAAAAAGAGGAATACACATGGCTGCCATGATTCTCACCAGGGAGCCTGTCAGCTCTCCATTTGGATTCAGCAATGAGAGTTGTTCCTATACAGATGTTCCATCAAACATTCTTCCCAGGGTTCAATTAAGCAATTAAGTGTTTATTAAATCATGTTTATGAGGAATATAGAGTCTCGGGTTATTATTGTAAACATGATGTCCACCTACCGGTCCAACATGCACAATGAATTCAGAGTTACCATCCACCCACATTCTGCGTTTGTTGGGAGCATCTGAAAAGTATTAGATAACAAACAGTTAGACTATCACAGAACATATAACTGTAGCCTCATCATACAACGTTAGGTCTTAGCACTATGCATGTACCCTATACATGTCGACAAAACTATGGATCGGGGTTTGTGTCTTTCAATAATGTCATATTCCCTTCACTCATCCACAACCCGTGAAGATACGGGTTAGAATATTGATCTTCAGTAACCCATGTCGAGGTGACTCCAGTTCGCTGGATTGGGTGGTCATCGGTTCAAAGTTGTAGATCGATGCTCATGCTGTTGATCACTGGATTGTCTGGTGCAGACTCGATTATTTACAAACCGCCGCCATATAGCTTGAATATTGCTGAGTGCGGCGTAAAAAACTAAACTCACTCAGTCACTCACTCACTCATCCACAGATCCGGGAATGAACATACTTCTCGTGCTGCCGCCATTTTACGCACAAGAATATTGACCGTGTTAGTGGCATGGCATATTTACGTCGACACACCTGGTGTCACCTCTGTTTGGTAGGGATTTATTCATATGTACATGATATAATGGGATTCACCAGCAACCAGCACAAATGTCTTACGATCACGGAATGTTTTCATTTCCATTGCTTCCACGATTACGGTCTTATATATATATAGTGACTGAAAGAGGAATTATGTGTTTTTGGATCACCAGTAAACACCTTGGAGATGAAAGATGTTGTATGAGCGTGTATTTCCACTTTTCAGGAAGGCATCAGCCTTAAGTATTGATCAATAAGTATTTGACAATAGTGTACTTACCATCTCGAGTTTCAGACAACAGCATCTGTGTGCATGTGCATATATGTACAAATTATCTAGATAGTTAAAGCTAACTTCAAACAAAAGGAAAATAATGACTTTTAAGAAATCGAAAATTTATGACATTTTGAAACTGGAACTGCAGAAATAATGTGGATGACCTAGTTTTGGCTTCATTCACTCATTTATAATTAATGACAGTCAACCATATGCAAACATATTCTTAGGTTTCTCGCTAAACGCTCTCAGTGTGCGACTCCAATGAGTGAGTGAGTTGAAATTTAACGTCACATCGGTAGTATTTCAGCCATATAGTGATGATAAAAATGATTTAGCTATAAGAAATATCTGTCACAAAGGACACCACAACAGTAAAACAGTTATCACAAATTGAGTCTAAAACTAAGTCATTTCAAAAGATAAACGATCTTGTTCAACACAAAGATCAATATTATATGTACTGCGATTAACATACGAGCCATAGACCGACAGTCACCAACTAGAGCAGCTTACTGGGTAATATGGGGACTTACTGACCTGAGACAACTGTTTCAGAGTACGTCCGTCAACCATGGTGTCCATGCCGCTGCTGCTGTAACTGGTGGTGAAGCTGGAGACGTCCATGCTGGTGCAGCCGAATGTCGTCATCTCTACCAGACAGTGGAAGACACATTCGTACTGGGCCTGAGATTGAAAAGACCAGACAGTGATGCTGTGTGGCAATATATATGTCGGCAACAAATCAGTTCCAAGGTTGGAGCTCAATTTGTAACAAAGAAGTTGCATTTAACACGTCAAAATTTAATTCTGGAAACTCAAAAGCCCAGACACTTGATACTCATAAACATAATTTCATTTATGTACATCCTTTAAAACATCAATTTGGAGCAAAAGTAACTATTTTCGCCCATTAGTTTTCGACAAAATGTTTATTTCATTTTTTCATCCTTGGCATAAATTCATAACTGCATGTTGAAATTTGTCAAATCCTTTGTCAGAATCTGGCCACAGTGTGAAGAATTTCTGGAATTTTGGGCTTCTAGAATTATATTGTGACGGGTTACTTCCACTTTGTGTAATTTAAATGCTGATTTTGAAAACAATGTTAATTGTGCTACACAGAACTGAAAGTTCCACCATTTCAAAATAGATAAAGACCGTATATATACGAGTGCTTCGGTGATATTAAGTACCAATGGCATCAAACAGGAAAAGAGTTATAGTTCTTGTTTGAAGTAGTTCTGATGTTCATACGCCAATATGAAATCCTTCTAGATGGCCACGAGTCGCTATTCGGCTTGTCCAGGAATAACACGAGTGGGTCTCAAATTCACGCACGTGCGTTTGTTTACATAACGTCTTTCATGGGTCCAATTTAAACAATATATTAAAATATAAATAATCAACTTTAATTTTTAACATTTGGGCTTACATTTCACATCTACATTTTTAGTCGGACGTTTCTGGGGCCATTCGATTTTTTTTAGTGCAGTCATTTTAAAATTCCACCAGGGGTGTGGCACAAGCTTACTTGAACGGTTAAAAAAGAGCAATACAGTATACGAGTGCTTCCGTGATATTAAGTACCATTGGAATAAAGATAGAATAGAGTTATCGTTCTTGTTTGAAGTAGTTATGATGTTAACGCGCCAATATGAAATCCTTCCACAGGGTCACGAGTCGCTATTAGGAATAACACGAGTTGGCGACGAATGCTTCAAGGTATGGCCGTTTGAAACCTGGTCGCCGAAGTAACAAAAATGGCTCGCCAAGGCAGGATGGGCTTACGGTCATATTTTACTGCCGTATGTTTCAGTATCTTGACGTTCCAATCAAAGAAGACTTTTCGATGAAACGCATAGGTCTAATGTAGTGTCACTTTACGTATGGGTTTCAGCATCCTTAACTCAACCCCTGGTGTCATTGCTATTTGGGAGAGATGCAGTCACACAGTCATGTTCCTGATAAGGTGGGGATCATGCAATGGACCTGCTTTTAGCATAGATGTCTTACGATTACGGAAATGTTTTGTACAAGTCGGGATCATTTTTATCACAGTACCGCAATGATTACGCAACTTCAAATTGGTATGTCATAGCTTCGCACATAACAAGCATCGAGAAGGGGACGAGTCTTCTTGGAGATTACGGTAAAGGGCGAATGGTGACGAATGGTGACGAGTCAAGCATCGAAGAGAGGAAGGCGAGTCTTCTCGGGGGGTTCGGAAAGGAGCGAATGGTAACGAATGGACATCATATGTTTTCCAAAAGGTAGGCGTGTCCTGCTTCACACCCGAATACGCCTGCCAAGTCAGCGGTCAGCCTGCCAAAGTCAGCGGTATATAAACTGACAAACACTTGTTGGAAATATATGTGTGAAGCCAACCTACCGCAGTCTGGATCATGTTCTTCCTCTGCCCCCTCATGACTGTCACGTACCCCAGGACATCCACCACCCCCTCCTCACGGGCCTGGTCTATCAGGGAATCCACGGCGATGTATGTGCCAGTTCGCCCAATACCCGCACTGAAATACCCATAATGCATATATTTGACTTGTTCATGCCTGACCTCATTAGTCTGACTACCTGTGTAGATCCGGGTTAGAATTGATCTTCAGTGACCCTTGCTTGTCGTAAAAGGCGACTAACGGGAACGAGTGGTCAGACACATGGTATTGTATCCCAATTGCATAGATAGATGCTCATGATGTTGAAACCTGGATTGTCTGGTCTTGACGTCATTATTTACAGACCGCCGCCATGAATCTGGAATCTTGCTGACTGTGGCGTTAAAACAACAAACCAACCAACCAAATCATAATTCTATCTCTTCGCATGTTGAACCTTCACACCATTTACCAGCGAGGGGAACGTCTTACCCTGTATACGGCTAGATTACCATCTTACTGAGAACCAAAACTTTCAACTGAAATAAGGATTATCAATTAAAAAGTTGTTCAGAATAACGATGTTTCAAAGGCTACAATCCAGTAATGTTCGCACGTTAACTGGAGTTAACTAAAATAGTGTGAAGAATCATCAGGAAGTGAATATAGCAGGTCCTCTGTTGCACTTTGTAGTCCGTTGATGTATTCGAATACATTTCCCCATACACAGTGTTCAAGCAGTGTTCAAGCAGTGGTTCGGTACCTTGTAACTAACTCAGTCCTACCTGCAGTGGTAAAGCAGTGGTTTGCTACCTTGTAACTAAGAAGTCCTACCTGCAGTGAACGAGCAGTGGTCCGTCCCTCTCTGCAACTGTCTGTCTGACCAACCAGATGTAGTGGACGAGAGCGAGGGTGTCAGGTACACCGTGGTCAGGCCATGACGTGAAGTGGAACTGGATGACTGACCGATTCTCTCCAGTCTGTAACAGACGATGTTGATAGAATTCGTATTAACATGAAAAACAAACTGCAACCATATATAGCAACTCATCAGCTATTCCACTAATATAGACCATTTTGTACGAAACAAAGTCATTGAAACATCACATTTTGACTACTTATGACTAGTTTTTCCCAACATAAAGAACACACAAAATAAATGTTCCATGCCGATACTTACTCTCTTGGAAGTGACTTTCATGTGTCTCGTTGTAAAGCTCGCACGGACTTGGGTTACATCCACCTCCACTTTGAAGTGCTCAGTGTTCATTACACCAGCATCAGGCCAGTACTGCTCACATTTCACCTGAAGGTAAAATAATATGCACATGTTTACCTAATGTATATGCTTGTAATCAGGCAAAATTGTAATTGAATGTTACATTTTTGTCATAGACGACTTATATATTCAGCAATACCTTCATATAATTTTCATGGCTGCTTGCTTTCATCGCCCAACAGAGGGCTGGTTTTATATATATGATGTCTACATTCGTAGGATGATGGAGATGATTGACATAACGTGAAATCCTACCTTCGCCTCCTCCACCAGACCAGTCAGCATGACCACAGCGCTACAGGAATGTTCCCAAATCATCCTCCAGAAGTCTCCTACTGTGTTCTTGTTGGGAGCTGTAAGTGGTAAACGGTGGCTGATGAATACATTAAACATGCCATTTCTAGGCATATACTATACAATAATGCAACATCCCTAAAGGTTGTTTTTACTGATATACATACTCATTAGACGGCAACTTAGACGGCATGATAACAGTGATCTTTTTAACTTCACATCATAACAAAATTAACTCATAAAGTTTATCTCACCTTGAGCTGCTATGTAAGTCTTCGCCTGGTTGTAACTCTGAAATATAGAAATGGGACGATTGGACAGTTTATTGCTTGTAGCATCACCTTTTGTTTTCGAGACTCTATAGTCTGGGTCCTGATAACTTTTGCCTTAACAATTTTGTTCCTCAGAAAGGGACGTTCTTAATATCCATGTTTCGAAACTCTGGGGATGTTTTTTACTGGGAACGATTCGGCTAAGAGGGTCGTATCCGGGGTCCCGATCCACTAACCGTTCGTAGCGCTACGACATTCGTAAGCCTATGATAAACTTTTGAGGTAATTAGTAAAGTACACACGTGCATGAGACTGGCGTTGATGTAGTCCGAGCCAGGAGTGTCTGGGAGGGGGGTCAGGCGGATACGGTTATGGTCGTCTGAAATAACAAATCAAGTCAGTTAAACCAGTATCCACATATTAGGCGTGGTGGGCGAGCTGGTTAAGGCGCCTGGCTAGTGATCCAGCGAGCTTGAGGTGACGGGGTCGAGCCCACCTGTAATCTGGTGTAAATATCTTGGAGTCAAATCTGTGTGCAGACTCTTTCAGTGTTGTCACAACCCCTAGCTAGTGTACAGTACACAACCCTGTGCGCTTAAAAGAACCCACGAATCCGTTGGTTTATGACCAGATGGTGGCCACATGAATACGTGCAAACACCTAGTTGCGGGTACAGCAAAGTGCAGTGGACTTGGACAAAGTACTGTGACTATCTGTCACAGTCCACTCAGCTGTGAATGGGTGCCTCGTAAGGATAAAGAAGCCGCAATAACTCGGTGCGCCGAGGAGCTGTATGATCCCGGGGAGTTGAGATTGATAATACGATGTGCCGTTGAGATTGACATCCGGTGATCGAGGGAAAAAATGTCAGCGCCTTGAGCATGTACTAGATACATGGATGTGTGCGCTATATAAATATCCTATAATAATCTTTTACATGTCTGTACATTCACCACTGTCAGCCATACTTACAGGGGTAGTAGCCTCTGAACCTAATTTTTCCACTGTTCTCGGGTCTCTGGGAGTCTTGGTATGTGGCTGTGATTCCAGTCACAAGTCGCTGTAAGAAATTCAATTCAAGGATGAGATATGTTCTTGTGGAGGATACTTTGTTTTGCTTAGACAGATTTGGAGACAATATTGTGTCTTTACAATATTGTGAGTGAGTAACTATTAGCAATACTCCAGCAACATCACGGCAGGGGACATCAGAAATGGTCTTCACCCACTGTACCCATTCCTGGGTCTTCGTTGTTAAACCACTAGCCCAACCCAACACCCCCTTTACCATTTAGAGACAAACTAGAAAAGCAATGCAAAACCACGACATTGCAAAGTGGACTCATGTTATATTCTCTTTCAAACCCATCTTTCCTCTGTTTAAGCATCGCCACAGTTGCAGCAAGTTCAGGCACAGCAACGTCTCTGATGGCGTCTTCGGCTTCTGCGTTGTAGTAACAACTGTCAGGAGGTTGAACTTCCTCGTCCAAATCTTCTTCCTCATGGCCTTCGTCTTCGGAACTCAGCTGTTTGCTGGATGCAGCTTGTGGGGCAGGTTTGGGTTTTATAGGTGGCTTCTGGTGGCCTGTTCTGTTCTCATCCAGAACTACGTTTGCCAAAGCGCCATTCTCTGAAAAACACCCAGTATGCATTGTATTCTTGATAATAAGAATTGTCGCAATGGAATGTATTGGCCATGTTGGTCTGAGCATGACTTATTGCATGATGCAACTACATCATAAGCAAATAAAAATGCAAAATAGCTAGTATGTCTCTGACCTAACAATATTTTAGCACTTTCTTCACTCGCCTACTCTAAAATTATAACTTGCCCGCAAAGACTTGCCCGTGATGAAATATTGCCAAAGCACACCTTAAAACTAAACATAGTCTTAGCTTTCCTCTCTATTTAGTGCATTCATACGAACACAGCTGAAACTATATATTTAACATGTATTGTGTTTCGCTGAACAAAATATTTTCTACATTATGTAATTATATTTGTTTTAGGAGTTTCAACAATCCTTTCAGTGCTCCAACCTTCAGGGCGGAAGTGTGCAGAGTGTTTGGTCACATCGCTATCTTGAAACCTCCGTCTCCTCCTGTAACAGATTCAAGGGGTGTCACAGAGCTGAATGTAATTATTTATACAAACAAAACAAAACAAAACACACAGTACAGAAATAACCAAACACAACCAAAGGTACTAACATACACAAACAAAACGTCTGATTTGGGAAATTCAATCACACACCTGGGCATCGGCATGTCATATTTTATTGTTTGCATTCTCTACAAGAAATATCCAATGAATATCAAGATGAACATCAAATATAATCATGTTTCATTTGACGTTACGTTCTGAATTTCACAAGGTCATGGAATGAAGATCAAAAACCTGCACGAAGAATGAATATACAACTATTATGTATTCCTGTTTTTTGGTTTGAGACTGAACGGATTGGTTTGAACTGCAAAACGTCATGCTGGTGCCTTTGCGTGTAATTCTTCATTGTTTTTGAAGTTCTTTTTCACAAAGGCTGAGTAGAATGTGTGAACTGTCTAACACTGACTTTACATGTGGAGAGATGTCTGCTAGATAAAGTGAAAAGAAATTACCTGCCCACAAGAACCACAACAGCAACAACTATGGCAACCACCAGCAACCCTACAACTGTTCCTGACACGGCTGGTACCAAAACATTTGATGACTGCATTTTATTTAAAGGAGCTGAAAACATATTAATAGAAACTATACGAGTACAATTTGTTTAAGGTGTTGAGGGTATACTTTATATACAGGCATAAAACACAAAATATATACAGAATTGTGCATACCATTGCGTGAGTTTCTAAGTAATACAATATACAGCGAAGAATGCCATATGACGGTGAAGCTCGTTTTACTTTGGGCAAGGAAACTGATGCAATTTTTTGTTATGCGTGGCCGTAAGAATTGAGATAACTATAATATTTCAAGACAGCTATCTACAGCATCATACATTCAGGCGTTTCGGACATTAAGAATTATAAATGTACAGACATAGCAAAGGGAAAGTACTTTGAAGCAGAATTCAAAGGGAACCTGAGTATGCAGGCGAGTTTGCGGGTAGGATGCGACCAGAACACAGGTAAAATCTTGATCATTTTCAATTCCAGAAAGTCAAAACGTCGTTGTGTTATCCTGGTTCTAACAGTTACCGGAACCCTCATACACTGACTAATGAAGGGAAATTACCACATCATCACCAAAACAACGTCTGCAGAGGAAATGAATAATAAAGAGCAAAAACAAAACATGAAAATCACAATGTCATTTAGAAGGTGTGAAACGGTAAAGATTGAAGTGATTATTTATATATAAATATATTGTTTTGAAACTTTGAGCGATTAATAATTATATACTTAGTTATCTATATAAAACATTTCTCGTCACTATATGGCTGAAATATTGCCGATGTGACGTTAAATATTAACTCACTCACCCATTGCTAAAGACATATCGATTCCAGTCTCTCTTGGTCCATCGGAGGTGACGTTGGGCCCACAGCAGACGTTGATGAAACGGCGTCAATATTGGCCCACGATATGGACGTCGAGAATGGAGATTGGCAGCCTGCAACCGATTTCGAATGGTCTGTGAGGAGAGTCGACCTCTAAACATCTCAGCCCTGGTTCGTGTAGCCGGCAGAAATCTGTCACGTAGGTGGCGTAGGACGATTTGGCGGTATTCTGCTCGTGACGTCACACATGGACGACCCGACCTTGGGCGATCAGAAGTGGTGCCAGTTTGTTGTAGACGACCTCGCAAGTCATACACAGTGCGACGCTACATCCCATTGCTCTTGCGACGTCAATAACTGATCTACCCGCTTGCAACATGCCAACGGCATGTTCACGTTGCACATTTGACAATCGTGGCATTTCAAGTACCGTTAGAACTGTGGTTTAAAAGTGTTTTTACAATTCTTGAGGCCAGTGCAAACACGTGCATATGAAGAAAACTTCGATGCGAAGATCACGTGATCAACTGCACGTGCAAAACCTGATTTGGCACTAACGTCATTTGCACGACGAATGGATGGGTTTGAGTGGGTTTTGCTAACATTTTTCTAGAGTCGAAAGATAGGGATCTCATTTCGGATACGTAGATGTATCATCAGAGAAAGATTATTCATTATTTTTCAAATTACATTTTGTGAAGTTTCTTATTTGACTCAGTATAATTCCTAAGCAATCCAGGAAGCGCACGTACAATCTGCTAAACAAGCTCACAAGTTTGTCAGAAATGCACTTGTTGGAACTGTGAGACCCGTGTGTGTATTTAAATCTGTCACCGTTCATGGCATTGTCCTTATTAAAATATTCACATTAGGCAACAACATTATGTTAGCTATGTTCTTTGTATTTCTAAGATGTCGATATGTACTTGTTTGCTTTTCAAACGCTCCCATTATGCCTTATACAATTTTAGTACTAGGGATTATTGCTATGAAAACGCCACAGTCGTCACGGAATAAGATGAGTGGGTCATGAATGTATTGAAAGGTCAGTGCCTAAGGCATAACTGAGGGATGTCCATCAAGGTGTTGTAAATATCATACGTTCGTTAAGGTCGTAAAACTTTTTTTTTTGGGTTTCAACTCACTTCACTCTCTTCATTTCACTCATTTGAGTCAATGATGTCTTGCATAGTACATTTCGAGTCAATGCAATTGTAAATGTGCTTATAATCAAAGCTTATAATAAATAAGTAGTAAACGTAATGTACCTTCTGTTCATTTCTATTCTCAGCATACAATAGAACACATTGTATCCAAACAATTTTTTAAAAGATTAAGACATTATTATTGATTGTTGATGCCCAATGACTTATACTTTGGCATCTGTACGTGACACAGTTCCCTGTTAACTATCTATGTCTTACATGTGGCATGTACACTAATACAGGCATAGAGGCGCAAGACAATCAAGTGGAATAAACACGCGGGTCATATGGCATACAATCATAGGGGCTTGAAAGGTCACACACTGTCATCAATGTAAATACTGCCACTAATGGGGTTCTTGTTAAAGCGCTAAGACGCCGCGTGTGACAGTATATACCTTGATGACAGTTTTTAGCGTTACAAGACCTTGTGCATAAAATCATATTCGGTCGGAAGTAATGTTAGTAAACATACCAAACATTACATTTGTCACAATATATTTCATTATGGAGGTAAAAGACATTACTTACAAAGCTTTACAGAGCAGTGAGAACCGTTGTACCCCTCGGTACATCCCCAGGGACATCGTCCATCAATAACATCACACGTCCCGTTACACTGGCCGCAGTCCCGCTCACAGTTCGAGCCGAATTTCCCATTGTCACAACCTAATTAACAAATAAAGCGTCAACTTGTATAGTGTCATGCTTCACAAATGACGTGTTCATTCCTATTCTTTTTAACTGTGTCAATCCGCTCGCGGGACCCAAGTGCTTGATTTTTGCGGTTACCGACAATCTCAATTAAACTAGAAATTGAAATTGTTTATCAATCTCATAATTTCTGTGTGCTCTTTTTAATGAAACTATTGCAATCATTATTCTACCTTTCAATGTTGAATTTGATTCTAATTATTGACTGTATATCTTACATTTCAACGATGTATACATCTGTTTTTCAATTCATACCTCCATGAACCAAAAAATGTCAATTTAGCAGTTCTCTGAGTATACGTGTTACTTATAGATTGTCCACACTCACCTGTCTGACACAGTTGGTGTTGCCATCCTGGCTGACATCCACCCGGACAGGTTCCAGTGATGTGATCACATGTGATGTTATCAGCACAGTGGCCACAGACAGAGTCACAGTTGACGCCATACTTTCCCCTGGGACACTCTGTGTGGAATATCACATGACAGATAAGATTCATCTCGACATATCAACGCTATAGTTACAGTTGATGCCTTACTTTCCCCTGGGACACTCTGTGTGGTATATCACGTGGCAGACAAGATTCATCTCGACATATCAACACAACAGTTACAGCTGATGCCACGCATACCTTCCCCTGGGACACTCTGTTGAATATCACATGGAAGGTAACATTCATTTCAACATATCAACACAACAGTTACTTATGATGTCATACTTTCCCCTGGGACGCTCTATTGAATATCACATGGCAGGTAAGATTTATCTCAACATATCAACACTACAGTTACAGCTGATGCCATACTTTCCCCTAGGACGCTCTGTTGAATATGACATGGCAGGTAAGATTCATCTCGACATATCAACACAACAGTTACAGTTGATGCCATACTTTCACCTGGGGCACTCTGTTGAATATCACATGACAGGTAAGATTCATGCTGAATATCAACACTAATTTTAGTGTTTATTTCTTCATGATGATTATATGACAAGAAATGGGGAAATTCTAGTAACCAACAGAACACAGACTATTATCGTGTTACCTATTCTAACCCAATCTAACAACAAAAATTTGATCCCAAAATATTACTTTACAGGCAAAAATATATTGAAGGGAATATATGCTGAATTTCTGAATGGCAATATTTTTCCTTTTCATTGGTTTTCATTCAGCAATCTTTCTTTTCACATCACTATTTAACCTAAGGATAATAAAAAAAATTATGCCTTAGCATAATGAGGGTATCAACGCCTTAACACAAATCACTGAATCTATATCTGATGCCCATGCCTAACTTGTCAAATTGTCTCAGTTCATTAGGTTCATCTATCCTTGACTAGTTCCAATCCGCATACCGCCAATATTACAGCACCGAAACAGCCCTGATACGTGTCCTCAGTGACCTACTGGCTGCACTGATGATGGCTTCATGGCTTCCCTTGTCATGCTCGAACTGTCAGCGGCATTCGATACCATCGACCATGAAGTTCTCCTAAGCGGTCTTTTGGTTGAATCTGGCATCCGTGGTAACTGCCACAAGTGGTTTTCATCCTACTTGGTAGAAAAGCAGTCATCATCGGCTATGAAAAATCCGATTTCGTCAAACTACACTGTGGTGTTCCACAAGGATCTGTTTTAGGTCCGATACACTTCACGTAGTACACGGCAAATCTGGCTAACATCATCCAACACTTCAAGCTTCTTCGCCATGGATATGCTGACGATACACAAATGATGGACAAATTCAAACTCAAGAACCTTCAGGTGTCCTTCCAACGCATATCTGATTGTACGACAACAACAAAGTCATGGATGACAGCAAATAAGCTGAAACTGAATGAAGAAAAAACAGAGGTGATGCTGATTTGCACTAAGCAACAGTTGGCCAGAGTAGAAGAACAATCCATTCTGATAGCGGATACGGAAATAGTTCTCAGTGACCACCTTAAAGATCTGGGAGTATTTCTGGACTCACACCTCTCCATGGAGAAACAGGTTACCCACATCAGTCGAACCTGTTATTATCATCTCCGATCCATCAGCAGCATTCGACATTTAATAACCGCAGAAGCTGCAAAAGTACTTGCCCATGGTCTGATAACATCAAGACTCAATTACTGCGACAGTTTGCTTCAGGGTATCAGTGGTAAACTGCTATCTAAGCTACAGGTGCTGCGAAATTCTGCAGCACGGGTCATCACAAGAACACCAAGACATGTGCACGTGACACCAGTACTCAGAGACCTCCACTGGTTGCCAGTAGAAGCTAGAATAGAGTTCAAGCTTTTCTGTATCATCTATCGATGCCTCCATAACACCAGCCCTGACTATCTATCTGAAATCTTGACTCCCCCCACTAGCACGTAAACTCCGATCAAGTGACCAAAATGTCCTCCAAGTTCCTAAATATCCACTGAAGACATTTGGCTCCAGGTCCTTCTCCAGCACTGCCCCTGTCCCATGGAACTCACTTCCATCCATATATATATATATATATATATATATATATATAAAGTAAGTGATGAGAATACCGAGCGTACAGTAGTACATATATAAGAAGAAGTTTCTGAAATAATTACACAACACGGATCTTCTCCAACATGTTTCACTTTTATCTTCAGGGAGAAGTGATTACAGTTAAACGGATTATGTTATGACGTCAATTTGTCATGACGTCACAATGCAACTGTATACAAATGTTGTGACGCGGCGTTGCCATGACGTCACATTGGCGGCTTTATATTGACAGTACTAGTAGCACAATGAAAACAAGTATAATTCAGACACATTGCGTTACCTATTTAACGATGGACACAATTCTTTGATGAAAAGTTTTCTTTAGCTTTACGCTGCATGGCGTCAGCAGTATTCATTTTATAGAAAGGGAATATTTTAAATTTTATTTCCTTTCCTGCTGCGCAATTGTCAATGTGAGCGCTTAAGGGGATGCACCTTGTTTTGGGGTCCTTAATCTGTTGTTTATGGACGCGCATTCTGTCCCTCAAGCACTCCGTTTGTCCAATGTATTCTTCATGACACCCCTTGGCATATAATAACATAAATAATATGTTTTGCGGAGCAGTCCATGTTAGAGCGTACATGAAATAATTGTTTCCTGTTTTTGAACTTTATACATGAAGTTTCAAGTATATATTCACAAGTTCCACAATTTCCCCGTTTACATTTTGAGACACTGAATTCTGTAGGTTTAATACATGAGTCGAATGTGGCACGTGTCAATATGTGTTTTAAGTTACGGCTTTGGCGTTTACTCTTTATCATTGTTACATGAGCCATAATTCGATTCATTTTCATATCAGCATTTAAAATTGGAACATTTTGTCTTATGATATGAAAAGTTCCGGATTCTTGGGGTTGTGCGTTGAAACATAGGCCAGATTGACAGTGTTATTTATTTGTTTATCACGAACTTTCAACAGTGTCCTTCTGTCTATGTTTATTGCTTTCTTTATTCCATCTTCCACAAGAAGAACTGGGTATCCACGGGACTGTAGATATGATTTTAGTTCTGCAAGTCGTATGTTCCTTGTCGGTATTTGTGACACAATCATGCAGATACGTCTTGCTAAGTTATAGGGAATGCTTCTCTTTATATGACTCGGGTGGCAAGATGAAAAATGAAGGTATTGTTTAGTATCTGTAGGTTTATAATATATATCTGTTTCTAGATTACGTCCACATAGTTTTACCATGATGTCCAAAATGGAATTTCAGAATAATTTGAGTCCATGGTAAAATGTAAATGTTTGTTCAATTTATTTAGGATGTTATAAAACAGAGTTAATTTTTTCATCTCCAAAGGGCCATAACATGAAGCAATCGTCAAGAAAACGTCGCCAATTTGTTCTAAAGTATTCAGCGACTTCAGGTCCTAACTGTTCTTTTCACTTTGGTTTCCAGAGTTCGTTCCAAATACCCTAAAACTAACGTAGCATACGTGGGTGCCATTTTGGTTCCCATTGCTGTACCCTTCATTTGTCTATAATGTTCCCCATCAAAATTGAATGTATTATTATTCAATATGAATGTAACACCTTCTATGACGAATTCCTTGGAGAATCGTGTTGGGAGTAATGCTGGATATTCGTGTAACCAGAATGATATAGCTTCAATCCCTAAATTGTGTGGAATATTAGAGTATAAATTTTTTACATCAAACGTAACTTGTTTGTTTTTTTCTTGAGTTTGTTGAGGTAACTAGTTTAGGAAATCCATCGTATCTCTAGTATAACTGTGCACTTTGGTAATAAAAGGTTTAAGCACTATGTCAATAAAATTACTCAACCGATGTGTAGCACAACTAGGTCCTGCAATTATCGGCCTAAGTGTCAAATCATTAGGGTGTTCTGTTTCAATATAGCTATCAGTAGCATTTTATGTAAAATTCGACTCATGTATTAAACCTACAGAATTCAGTGTCTCAAAATGTAAACGGGGAAATTGTGGAACTTGTGAATATATACTTGAAACTTCATGTATAAAGTTCAAAAACAGGAAACAATTATTTCATGTACGCTCTAACATGGACTGCTCCGCAAAACATTGGTGTTGTGTTGGTGTTGTGTAATTATTTCAGAAACTTCTTCTTATATATATATATATATATATATATCCAGGTTACAGATTGTTATGGTTGTTTGACAAAGTAATGTCGCTGCCTTATTCGGAAAAGGAGACAGGTACATACATATTGACACGTGCCACATTCGACTCATGTATTAAACCTACAGAATTCAGTGTCTCAAAATGTAAACGGGGAAATTGTGGAACTTGTGAATATATACTTGAAACTTCATGTATAAAGTTCAAAAACAGGAAACAATTATTTCATGTACACTCTAACATGGACTGCTCCGCAAAACATTGGTGTTGTGTTGGTGTTGTGTAATTATTTCAGAAACTTCTTATATATATATATATATATATATATATATCCAGGTTACAGATGTATTCAATGTCTATGCATCACAAGAGAAGGATATACAGGTCATAACCACAACCACGTAACAGACAATCCAGAAAACAGCTAGGCACTCAAGAATCGTATTATGTGCTAACTCATCGCATATGAACCTTGGTATCAATCCAAATGATACGCCCCACTCAGAATGCTCGTTGAAGTCAGCCAACACTTCAGATTGTTATGGTTGTTTGACAAAGTAATGTCGCTGCCTTATTCGGAAAAGGAGACAGGTACATACAGGTCAACTGTGTCATACACGTCATTTTAACCAGCTAAACCAACGAATAAAGTCTGATATCATTGTGTGTGGTCATATCTTCATTGTTCAACACAATCACGTATGTTCCTTTAAAACTGAATCCTACCACTCTCCACATTGCTTTCTCTCTCATTGCTATATATTGGGTTTAGAGTGATAACAGGTTGTGAAAATGGCATTTGACTAGGTGCTGACTAAAGGTTTGGGAATGTTAATATATATATATATATATATATATATATATATATATATATATATATATATATATATATATACATACATACATACATACATATATATATATATACAGAGAGAGAGAGAGCGAGAGGGATAGAAACAGATCCCAATTATGATAGACGAACATGACCAAAACTGTAGTCAGCATGTACGATTCTTGAGTGCCTAGCTGTTTTCTGGATTGTCTCTTACGTTGTTATGACCTGTATATCCTTCTCTTGTTATACATAGGCATTGAATACATTTTCATTAATTTCAAGACTCATATATTATACCAAATCTATGGGGCATGATTTTCAGCGACCCATTCACATATTCAGTTTCTGTGGGTGATCGAGACTTGTTATTCCCTGGTGTTGACGTATTTTGTTATATTAGTTAATAAAAGTTGTTCTTGCATGTACACCACTGAGGAAGGAAATATATTCATATTACCTTGTGTGCAACTCTGCAGTGTCCATCCCGCCTCACACCCAGTGCCACAGGCCCCATCAGTAGGACAGGAGGAACTGTTACAATGTCTCTCAGCACAACTCAGGGAACAGGTAGTTCCATAATAGCCATCTGGACAGTCTGGAGAGAAATAAGAACACTGAACTAGTTTTGAATCATATATTATTACTGTTTGTCTATTTACCAAAACATTAGAAGCTAAATTATACATCTATTTATAGAATGAATATTTTCTGTATTATAATTAGCACGAACCACTTCTTGCAACGAAGAAATCTTCGCGGAAGGCACAATGGGAATATCATGAATATGTGTTTATAGATCATTATGAAATACAGCTGTTCTCTAAAAGGTGAGCCTATCCTGACCCACCGATGGCGTCCGTCAAAAACAAAAGCATGCAAAGGCAGTTTTTCTCCAAGAGGGGCGGTGGGGTAGTCTAGTGGTTAAAGCGCTGGCTCGTCACGCCGAAGACACGGGTTCGAATCCCTACATGGGTACAATGAGTGAAGCCCATTTTTGGTGTCCCTCGCCGTGATATTGCTGGAATATTGCTAAAAGCGGCGTAAAACCAAACTCAGTCAGTCAGTCAGTCTTCTCCTAGGTAGAGCAAGTATATATGGATGGCAACTTCTTTAATTCTAGAGCACGACGTTTCGATACAGGACCTTGTATCGTTTTTACGTATCAGAATACAAGAACCTGTATCGAAACGTTGTGCTCTAGAATTAAAGAAGTTGTCCTCCATATATACTTGTTCTATCTGACTTCCAACTTCTAAAATGCCACTCAAGATTGTTCTCCTGAAAATACGCAGAAATATATGGCACAAGTCTAAATTGGGAACTGCATCGGACATAGGTTCTTGTCACCGATGGATCAAATTTTTATATTTCATGTCTGCCATAAACCTGTGCGAAAGTTTTACTGAGGCCTTCAGTGTTGCAACATTGATTGAACACATTTTGAGCAAGAGTCGTGTGACTGTCTCTTGGATTTTGTGAAAAAGAGTATGAATAATATAACCGATAATAAGATGTCTTCCTCAACATGAGTATACACCATTACAGGTAAACACTGTGTCGTTGATGAACACTGATCGGCGCAGTTTATACATTACAAAATTAATTATGCATATCAATTCCATCACAAACAAGTTTTTGTTATCAAATATTTTTCATTTTCTATGGTGCTCTCATGTACGTCCCAGTGCAACGCGCTATGATCTTGTATAATTTCAGTAGCTGTATATCCAGCAGTTTCTGAATTACAGAATAGTTACAACAAATTACGTCCCTGCATGGGCTGTTACACATTTTTGACAAAATCATAATATAACTTCCTTAAATCCCACATACAATTCCATTTGACTATGAGTTCAAGATCAGTTTTAAAGTAACTTGGCCATATTACTCAGAAGGCAGTCATGAAGTGCATGACGTCAACACATCATCGGTAAAGAAGAAACATACTTTGTAAACAGTCATCTCCAGTGAAACCAGTGACACAGCCGGCGGGACACCTTCCAGTCACGTGATTACATTGGTTAGATGGCGTCTTACAGTGACGGTTACTGCAGGACTTGCTACATCCTTCTCCGTACATCCCGTAGACACACTCTGGAATTCATGGTGAAGTGTATAGTTAGGTATAATAGGTAATAAGGGTAATGTAATCGTTCATGCCACATGTAATACTAGGGTACAGGATGTATGCATTGCTACACTGACGTGCTGGATTCATGATCTTTGTGATGCTCCTGCTTCTCAATCTACAGCCGACTAACATTTCAAAGTTTCTAGCTGCAAAACACAAATTATAATGTACCCTAACAACTGGCAGAGATATTTCGGTAACCATGAAATCAAGGGCTTTCTGAAGCCAGAGCTGTCTCAACTTGATTGATGTTTTCCCAACAATTAACATCAATAGAGAAAGGTATTCGTGAATACAATGAGTCGAAACTCATGCTGTTGTTCACTGGATTGATTGGTCCAGACCGGAACACAGTTGTGAGCGGCGTTAAATCAACATAATTCATCCCAAATCATAGTGGTGATATAAGTTGCGTATTAACAATATCTAGCCCCACTATCTTCTCACTGTGACGTAGTGAGAGGCACCAACACAGCCTCCATACCAAACTACGTCAGTTCATGGAGATCAAAGTTCCTTGTATGCATTCTGTCACGTGACTACTATTGTCTTTACCATTTCGACCATTATTTCCCATCTACAACAACGGCTGCTGCCGTCGTCAATTCAACACCTGTCTTTTTTGTTCTCCCTTGTCCGCTAACCTGAACTACCAACTGAGGGCAACAATGCGAACCACTTGTGGACACAACGATGATTTCAACAGCCAAAGAATGGAAATTATTTCCACTATTATCACTGAATTGCTTGTTGTTTTTTGTTTTTTACTATTCTCAGCAATATCCCAGATATATGACGTCAATGAACGAGTCTGGTCCAGACATCCCAGTGATTAATATCATGAGCATCAGAGTATGTAATTAGAATACAGTGACAAGCATCTTATGATGTAACCACAAATCATTTCTTGCAAAGTGTCTTTCACTGTAAATGTCCTGAGAATACCATTACCTGTTACTAGATACAAAATGTAAACAGAGGAGCAGTGTCTGTTTAAAGCATCACAATGAGAACACTGTACATAATACTTAAATATGATACAATAACTGATTCAGATATACAAAGTGGGCATTAATATATATGTGGGAAAATTGTGGGATATATTACCTTGTCTACAGTCTATTCCTTGATATCCATCCGCACATCCACCGACACAACGCCCTTGTGTCACATCACAGCTGAAGTCCATCTTGCATTGACGTGCGTCACAGGACTGGCCACAGTTGGCTCCATAATACCCGGTGGCGCATTCTTGTAAATATAAGCAAAAATATATTTAAAGAATATATTCTCCGAAATATACATTAATATTGATACACAAAACTTTAGTGTTGTTGATGGAATTATTCAAACGCAGCAACGATAAAAGGCATCCTGCAACAGATATATCACAACTTGAGGACACAAAACCAAGATGCAAGACTAGGGCACGTTCTGCATGTGACAAATTTTGAATGGGGGTCAGGTCGACTGCAAAACAGAGTCTGTTTTCTGCTCTTCAACTGGCAAGTTCTTCTGACAATGAAGCGACCTCGCGAAAAAGCCTCGTCTGGCCAATGGAAGCGGGAAAATTGCAATATTGACAATTTTATGGATAGCAAGTTCTTTTATTTCACGAATTTCCATACAGATTCTTGCCCCGCTACCAAAAAGGAATTGACATGAGGAGAAGGGAATGTATGTATACAGAATATAAATAAAGTAAATACAATGGCAACGTCATTAAAATAACTAGGCAACAAGTTGATGAAACCAGGGAATTAACAAAGGGATTAGAGATGGAAGTCAGGGTTCTACAAATCAAGGGGTAATTTAGAAAGGACCAGATATTTACACAGGCTTTGTTGAGAAGTGCACAGGCTGTCCACAGGTCTTTGGGAAACAGCAGCGAGCACTACGGCCTGATTTTGCTGAAATTGCTTCTCCCTCGGACGATATCTGTTCAATCGATTCAAATGTATTTATATATATTCTGTAACCATATACTACCAAGTGAATAGAGGGATCAAATTTATTTAACCAAATCTTTCATTTAGGTATGGTTGAGGTGGAAGTACCTATCTGATAACGTGGCTTTACATTTCAACACAAACCCTGAATCACAACACAAATCTCACATCAAGCATGAACTGCACGCCCTGCATTAGCACAAGACAGTATCCAATGATCAGGTCTCTTCTCACCCTTTTGTGACCATAACTTTTAACTCACTCACTCACTCTCACCCGTTCAGTGTTGTCGCAACCCCTAGTGTACAGTACACAACCATGTGCACTTAAAAGAACCCACGAATCCGTTGGTATATGACCAGATGGTGGCCACATGAATGAGTGTAAACACCTAGTTGCGGGTACAGCAACGTGCAGTGAACTATGTGTCCCAGTCCACATAGCTGTGAATGGGTGCCTCTTAAAGATGAGAAAGCCGCAATAAATCGGTGCGCTTAGTGGCTGCAGGAGTTGTATGACCCCCGGGGAGTTGATATTGATAATACGATGTGCCGTTGAGATTGACATCTAGTGAAATGTCAGCGCCTTGAGCATGTACTAGATACATGGATATGTGCGCTGTATAAATATCCTATAATAATAAACCCGGCTCTATGTAGAGCGCCAAAAGAGGAGGAGTCGATATCAACATTGGGGCGATCGGGAAGCAAGAGCAACGTCTTGACATGATTGGAATGGAAACAGTAGTGTCGTGGTGTTGGACGGTATAAAATGTGACAGGCCAACTAATTTGGTTCTTGTAAATGGATGTTAGACTAGCCAGCGACACGTTGACAGAAGCTGCGTTGTCGTCTTGTTCATTAGCGTGAATTATAGGCAAATCTATTAACTGCCAGATAACAATGCTAGACCGTATGGTACTCGGGTCGTCACTGATAATCACCAACGAGAAGGTGTCCGCACACAGGACTGTTATTTCACTTTCACTACAAATTTCCTTCCCATATGGCTACAAGAATATATGTAGTTATATACGCCCGCCTGTAAATACAGATGCTATTGCTTCAATATTTGTCCCCGTGGTTGTGTAGCTACAGACTATTAATTCTGGTGGCGTGTGGTCCTGTGCACAGAGCGCAGGTCACGAATCAGACAGTCCTTGGATGGGTGACCGTGTTTGACAGCTTGACTCCTGAGAGATTCTAGGATTTCCCGTCCTACCCCACAACGAAGCACATGTACAAATGTGGTCTCACCTTTGGCAAGTGAGTTTGTTCAAAATTGCCTCTGTTCACACAACATCAATGTTGACTTGGTGTTTTAAGAGTCGGCTGATCTGGTAGCTGGCTGAACCTATATAGGGCAAGCTTATGATGAACGGAGCTGTTTGATGTCGTGGGGGCTTGTTTGTCGGGTTGAGGGTGGCGTTGATGGTGCGGTCTACAAGGCTGACAGGGTAGTTGTTGTAGGTCTTAAAGACATGGCGCAGATGTTGAAACAAACAGCACGCATTCAAACAGCTCCGTTCATCATAAGCTTGCCCTATATAGGTTCAGCCAGCCACCAGATCAGCCGACTCTTAAAACACCAAGTCAACATTGATGTTGTGTTCCAGAGAGGTACTACTATACAGAACCTCCTAAAAGCCAATGGCAGACCAACCCCCACAACTACAGAAGACCCCCTCAGGCACAGTTTACCACATAAAGTGTGACCGTGGAGACTCGTACATCGGCGAAACCTCAAGACCCCTTCCTGTAAGAATCAAAGAACATCAAGCCTCTGTGAAGAAGAAAGACTCTAAATCCGCCATCTCTGACCACACCCAAGCTCACCCAGACCACAACATCCTATGGAACAGCATCAATGTACTCACCAGCAATCACACCCACTACAAGATCAGAAAGCTACTAGAAGCCATTCACATCAAGAGACTCCAACCGGCCATGAACAGAGACCAAGGATATTACATCCCCACTGCCTACAACCAACTCATCACCAAGCAATCTTAATCCTATTATTCTCCTGTCTGTCATATCACTGGCTTCCTCCTTAATCCCCCATAGCTTACTATGTTTGTGTAACTATTGGCCTCTTGTGTAAACATCCACCACCTTGTACATCTACCTCATTAATTGTGTAAACATCATCACTTACTGCTCAACTTTACCATGTATATAAATATACCTTGCATCTAGTATTGTACATGATTTGCTTGATAACGGTGTTAGTAGCTACACCGAAACTTCGCTCATATCATATTAAAGAAGTTGTATATCCATAGAACTCTCCTTGTTGTTCATCACACCACCTTCTAAATGCCACTTAAACAAGTTGTCCGAAATATACATTAATATTGATACACAAAACTTTAGTGTTGTTGATGGAATTATTCAAACGCAGCGACGATAAAAGGCATCCTGCAACAGATAAATATCACAACTTGAGGACACAAAACCAAGATGCAAGACTAGGGCACGATCTGCATGTGACAAATTTTGAATGGGGGTCAGGTCGGCTGCAAAAACAGAGTCTGTTTTCTGCTCTTCAACTGGCAAGTTCTTCTGTCAATGAAGCGACCTCGCGAAAAGCCTCGTCTGGTCAATGGAAGCGGGAAAAGTGCAATATTGACAATTTTATGGATAGCAACTTCTTTTATTTCACGAATTTCGATACAGATTCTAGCCCCGCTACCAAAAAGGAATTGACATGAGGAGGAGGGAATGTATGTATACAGAATATAAATAAAGTAAATACAGTGGCAACGTCATTAAAATAACTAGGCAACAAGTTGATGAAACCAGGGAATTAACAAAGGGATTAGAGATGGAAGTCAGGGTTCTACAAATCAAGGGGTAATTTAGAAAGGACCAGATATTTACACAGGCTTTGTTGAGAAGTGCACAGGCTGTCCACAGGTCTTTGGGAAACAGCAGCGAGCACTACGGTCTGATTTTGCTGAAATTGCTACTCTCTCGGACGATATCTGTTCAATCGATTCAAATGTATTTATATATATTCTGTAACCATATACTACCAAGTGAATAGAGGGATCGAATTTATTTAACTAAATCTTTCATTTAGGTATGGTTGAGGTGGAAGTACCTGTCTGATAATGTGGCTTTACATTTCAACACAAACCCTGAATCACAACACAAATCTCACATCAAGCATGAACTGCACGCCCTGCATTAGCACAAGACAGTATCCAATGATCAGGTCTCTTCTCACCCTTTTGTGACCATAACTTTTAACTCACTCACTCACTCTCACCTGTTCAGTGTTGTCACAACCCCTAGTGTACATTACACAACCATGTGCACTTAAAAGAACCCACGAATCCATTGGTATATGACCAGATGGTGGCAACATGAATACGTGTAAACACCTAGCTTCGGGTACAGCAAAGTGCAGTGAACTATGTGTCCTAGTCCACATAGCTGTGAATGGGTGCCTCTTAAGGATGAGAAAGCCGCAATAACTCGGTGCGGTGATCCCCGGGGAGTTGATATTGATATTACGATGTGTAGTTGAGATTGACATCCAGTGAAATGTCAGCGCCTTGAGCATGTACTAGATACATGGATATGTGCGCTGTATAAATATCCTATAATAATAAACCCAGCTCTATGTAGAGCGCCAAAAGAGGAGGAGTCGATATCAACATTGGGGCGATCGGGAAGCAAGAGCAACGTCTTGACATGATTGGAATGGAAACAGTAGTGTCGTGGTGTTGGACGGTATAAAATGTGACAGGCCAACTAATTTGGTTCTTGTAACTGGATGTTAGACTAGCCAGCGACACGTTGACAGAAGCTGCATTGTCGTCTTGTTCATTAGCGTGAATTATAGGCAAATCTATGAACTGACAGATAACAATGCTAGACCGTATGGTACTCGGGTCGTAACCTATTATCACCGACGAGAAGGTATCCGCACACAGGACTGTTATTTCACTTTCACTATCATTTTCCTTCCCATATGGCCACAAGAATGTATGTATTTATATACGCCCGCCTGTAATTAAAGATGCTATTGCTTCAATTTTGGTCCCCGTGGTAGAGTAGTTACATACTATTAATCACAATAATACCATTATGTTATTGCTATCGTCTTGCACCCAAAACTTGAGAAAGGTACAGATTCATACAGTACAGTCTTGTACATACCTGTACAGTCAGTTCCTGCCCACCCCGTTCGGCAGCCTGCACTTGAACATGCTCCTGTGTCAGGAGGACAGGAAGCCAAGTTGTGGACACAGTGGCGGGAGTTGCAGTACTTGCTACAGTTGTCTCCGTACGCGACACCAGACGTGCATGCTGAAATAAATTGTGAGTTCAGTGAGGTCAGTTCTTGTATCACTGGTACATGTGTATAGTAACTGCTTAAACTGCTCCAAAGCGAATCATGATTTAACATATTGTATGCTTACCATATCCAGACGTAATTGAAAAAAATCTGCTGTGTTTTACAGCGGTATTTCCGTTTGCATAAAATTCAAAGGAAGAATTTAACATAACCCATATCAAACGTTGTAGTGAAGGATATTTGACTTCCATGTAACATGTAAAAAAAAGCACGCAATAAAGACAATGTATATTGGAAGGAATGGACATTCGATTGTAAGTAGATCATGAGACGGCTTGATTAATTTAGCTATTCAGCTGTTATGACGAGGGAACCAACATTACAGGAAAAGTTTTACAAACATATTTCTGAAACTTTTCACCAATAACGAGATATCAGGAGATATTACCTTGTCTACAGTCTGTTCCATGATATCCAGCCGCACATCCACCGACACACTGCCCTTGTGTCACATCACAGCTGGAGTCCATCTTGCAGTGACGTGCAGCACATGACTGGCCACAGTTGGCTCCATAATACCCAGAGTTGCATACTGAGCAGTATTGGAATTGTATGGATTAATGCTAATATTAGTGTGCGGACCCAGAGGAGCATGCTTGCAAATATAATAATCAAATTCATTAAAATATATGCTCGTAAAAATGGAAACAAAATGATCTTTGTACGCAAAAATATATTATTCAAATTATTCAAACGCGGCGAGGACAAAATGCATACTGCTACAAATAAGTAACAGAAGTTGACAATAAAACCGAAATTCAGCTGCAAGTTTTTCTTGTTGAAAATCATAATGGTAAACCAAAAGTCACTGTGTTCTTCAATCTGATTGGTTGAAAAACGTGATCAAATGGTATTCGATTCCCGGAAATTCGCTGCGTATTAATACATACAAACATCTCTCACACCATTGTATTGTTACGTCATCAGCTGTGATGACGTCATTAAAATCATATTGTGACGTAAAGTCCGAATGGCGTCACAAATGAGCAGTTCCAGATGCTACCATGGGAGACAGCCGAAACGGCCGTCTGATGTACCCGTACTCGATGTCAATGAGTGCAGACACAAAAACGTGTGTGGACGTTTTGGTTTACTTTTGTGTTTACAATGTCGATAAACATCATGTGTTGGCCAATTTCCGGGTGTATTGAGTATTTGAAGCACGGGAATATTTCATTTGAAACCTCCGGCTGACGCCTTCGGTTCCAAATGAATTCCCGTGCTTCAAATAATCAATACACCCGGAAATTGGCCAACACATGATGTTTATCTCCTAAATAGGAGCTATGATGTTCTCGACTGCAAAAACAGAGTCTGTTTTGTTCAGTTCTGTTTAACTGGGAAGTCATTCTGCTAATTCGAAAACCACGGCAAAAGTCTAGTCGGATTATTTGGAGCAGAAAAACTGCAATGATCTATTGTAGACAGGTTATTCAGAGCATCCATGGTCTGTCTACTGACTTCAGTATCCGTACCAACATCATCGGAGTTCACGTGACCTATAGAGACTATATCTTACGACTCATGTACACAAGTGTTTGATCACTGCCGGGCTTACAACATTCAAATACTTTGTAAAGATTCCAAGATGTTAGGTTGGATATTACCATGTTGGAATTATCAGCGACCAAAATGTAATCCTATTTAGTTCCGTGAACCATATATTGCCGTGTTTGTTCATGTGAACAATTCATTAACATTTTGCATTTACACGGGTTTTCAATGACGATGCCACTAACTGAATTCTGATATTAGAAATGAAGACAAAATTCATAAAAGTGTCTTTTGAAAACAAAAATATGCATGTTTGGCGCCATTGACTGGTGAAGTTAAAGACACTTTTGTCAGCATAAAACGTCCACAAGACCCTGATTCCGTTATAAAAACACATTTTAAAAGTATGAGGTGACGTAAGTAACCTTAAACATTACCTTGTGTACAGTAATGTCCATGGTATCCAGCCAAACATCCACCGATACAATTCCACTGTATTCCACCACAGGTATGACTGCAGTGAGTGTTACTACACAGTTGGTTGCAGCTGCTTCCATAATATCCGGAGGCGCATACTGCAAAACATAAATGTCGTGTCTGAGTCTATGTATTAAGTACAATATATGTCTCATCCCCTCAGTATGCTTATTTCCAAATCAGATAAAAGGTCAGTATTTCTACATGTAACTGATGGGATACTGATTCTTGTGATTTTCGCTGTCAGTTATTTCGGATTTTCAGTTTAAGTCAAATTCAGTGGCAATGTGACTGGGCTTTCATTGCAGTAATGAAAAGAGGAACTATACTATCAAACACAAGATGCAAGCAGTTCATCCATAGTCTTTGATCTGACATATCAACTGGACTTGGCTTGCCAAATGGATGGAGTTTCTAATAAAGGATGTGTTCCATCCCAAAATGGTGTTGCATTTTCAGATAGCTCCCAACATAAATTTGACAAAAATCACAAAGAAAGGTACAACAAAGTTATGAATAAGTCATGGTACAATGACCAACATGTATAAATATACTCTATCAAAACATAATAACCTCTTTATCACACAATATCATCCTAAAAACCTTAAAACCCTGTTGTCATCGCACACAGCTAGTGAATATTACTGACAGTAATATGATTATGTCACAGTAACCGTCTAATAACAAAAACACGACTTACCAAATTGTATAAACTGACATTGTACATCGACGTACAACCCTGTACATACCTGTACAGTCTGGTCTTGCCCACCCTGGTTGGCACCATGAACACGCCCCTGTGACAGGAGGACATTGGTCTTTCGTGTTGAAGCAGTGACGGGAGTTGCAGTCCTTGCTACAGCTGTCTCCATAACTACCAGACGCACACGCTGAAATATACCTACAGTTGAGTGACGTCACTTATTTCTTATATCACTCGTGTGTATTCAAATATGAACAGCTTAAACTGCTCCAACTGCAGTCAGGCCATTGCATGATGATTGAACATTGAACAGCAAATCATGCACAGCGATCGGGTCTGCTTTAAGATACTATTTCTATTCTTTACTTTGCTCTGCAAAAACATATTCAAGCGGATTTATTTGCGGAAAATATGAATCAGTGTATTGAGAAATGTTTAACTTTCTTTGTCCTCAAATTCAATATTTCTATAAATGAGGCATAATTTAATTTAAGTGAACTCAAACCCCAAGGTCAATTTGATCTAGACAAAGAATTAGGGAGAAGAAAAAAGAAACCTTTTCGATTGTAAGACGATAATGAGATGACCATTTGCAAAAAATAGTTTCTGTCATGCTGTAAGAATGTTTTCCGTGGTATCAGGAGGCGGATGCTAGAAAATATTACCGTCCTAAATTTATCCGAGTTAAGTTAATTCAGTGTGTTAAGAAGAATGCTTGGTTTCAGTAAGACACAAGGCCAATATGCACTAACTTCGTAAAGGTGATGGCATTTTTTATTTGGCCGTCAGTTGCTTCGGAGTGTCTGTCACGTTGGGTTAATAAAGAGTAAGTGGTAGTGTGATTGGGCTTTCATTGCCAAAATGCACTATTAGAACTATAAACTATTTCATGCATAGCAAAGCCTTTTATCTGACACATGCCGGCGAGCTAATTGCAAACTCCTTACAGAAATCACAAGCCTGATACTTTCTTGTTATGTGATGTAATTCATAAATTCGGAAAACCTATGGTCATATATCACAAGCAGTACCTAAACATTACAAGTTCCATCTGCCTGATGACAATACATTAATGAGGACACGCCTAACAGGCAGACTGACCCTAATATACACAGTAGGGTAGTGTGTTGTGAAGTGGGGCTGAGATGCAAGATGTTTAGAAGCTGGCCCATTCTTCTGTGAATATGGTAACAGTAGTGTACAGTGTCTCCCTGGCGGGATTTTCAAGATGGCGGCACATCCGGTCCCCGTGGGCGCCGCCATCTTGGATCAAGATGGCGGCCCCACGGGGACCGGATGTGCCGCCATCAGGGGGAGACCACTCGGGTTCCGGTTCCGGTGTGTGCGCATGCATCGCGATGACGTCACGTCCGGTTCCGGTGGGTGCGCGCGCATGACGATGACGTCACCTCCGGGCCAAGATGGCGGACGCGTTTCAAGATGGCGTCCCATCCGGTGGGATCGCGTGAGATCTCGCGGGGATCTCGTGGACTCTCGCGGGATCTCGCGAGCGTAGACGCATTTCAAGATGGCGGAACGGACGAGCGGCGGACGGGACGGAGAGGGAAGGAGAGGAAAGGAGAGGGGAAGGAGAGGGAGTGAGGGAGGGAGGGAGAGTGGTGAGGGGGACGATGGCGTGGCTAGAGAAGTGTGTGTGTGGTTCAGAGCTTTTGTCACTCAGGTTTTCTTTCAAGCGAGGTGGGTGGCCTGAAAAGGGCCGTTGGTATGTGAACAAGACAGGTTAACATTCACAGAGGAGATGGAGACCCCGAAAAATAAATTTTCCGGGGCACACATCATCGTGCTGCTGTTGCCCTCTCTTGATGATGCTTTCCCCACAGTAGAGGCATATGTAAAAGTCAGCTCCTGGGACGACATCAAAGCGATTCGAGGGATATGCTTTGAAACAGGTAGGACAAATAATCAGTCGCCATTTTGATGACCATTTTGGTAATGTTTTCGCTGTTGTTGGTGGTGGTGGGGCTACTGTGTCTGCTGCCGTAGGTGGTGGTGGTGGTGTGGCTGCCGCTGCTTCTGTTGCCGTTGTTGGTACCGGTTCTGTAGGTGTTGTTGCTGCCTCTTCCATTTTGATGCCAACCTTCCCTTGTAAGGTAGGGCTGCACCGTAAGCATTGCCGTCTACCACAGTTTTTCCGGTAAGGTGCCGGTCGCATGACTTCCACTTTTCTTGTGTCCATGTTGCATCAAAATAGCCCTCACTGGCCCATGCTGGAGTTTATATACAGGCGACGAGACAGCGATGACGTGTCGTCGATGACGTGGTATCGATGACGTCATGGTCGCGCGTGAGGGTAATGACGTAGTACCGATGACGTCACCGTGAGGTGGTGGCGCCCCCATAGCCTTGGATTGGCTGAGCTCTCACTATATATGATGAGAGGGATGACCGAAGCAGTGTTACAACCAACACCATGGCTGAAAACTGGGATCTGGAACTCATGCCTTTGGAGACAGCATCACCACCCTTACCGGCATGGCAGTGCCACCAATGTTTTGGCTGCCTGCCCGTCTACGCCAACGGGAGCATCGAGTATAATGGTACCTTTCAATGCGTCTACTGCAAGACAGTGTTAAAGGACACTTATATCAGGCGTTTAACTCATGGGAGCAAGTGCCCAGTAAAAACAAAGATGACCATTCATCCCTGCCAATGTAGGTGCCAGCTCTGGTCCCTTGAGTGAGGTACACTCTAAAAAACAGCCCTTTTCAGGGCCATCCATCTCTCTCAAAAGAAGGGTTCATTTCAACAACAATAACAACGCTAGGTTGACATTTTTCAAACGTTTTATTTCCCCCGCTAACAAGAACACTTTGACAAAAGAGGCAGGATTAGGGGCGTCCCTGATCTTTTGTTTACAAACGGTATGAACTCTAACATCATAACTGTAACATCATAACATCAGAACGATAAGGTTGTGTCCTTTGGCAGGGGTGTGGATCATGGCCAGCGTTGTTGTCTGTCAGGCGTGTGGGTTGAAACCAACGTCTTACACGTTCTTCATTGGCGAGGGTATCGTAGGGATCAAACTGTTCCATCACTTCGTCAAAAGACCATCCGCGGGCACGATGAGCCAGTACATACAAGCAGTACATCCCACAAGAGGCACTGAACCAGGGTTGAAGTGACTGACCATTCCACTGTTGTTGGAGCCATATGGCGAAGGTCATGACATTCCGAAAGTCTGGATGCTGTTGGTAGGGATGGAGTCCATAACTGTCAAAGTAGTCAATGGCACCTGGTGCTGGGCGATACACACACACCCAGTGTTGTCCTGGGAGATGACTGGGGTCCGTGTTGACAATGTAGGCTTTAGGATAATGTCCCTCCTGCTGTTCACACGGTGGTGGCAAAGTGATCTCGGGCAAAGGTACCTTGGTAGAGGGCTTGCAGCAGGGGATCCTGTTGTACGTAGGCGTTCAAGTGTCTGGTCGTCAAGCCATTGTCGTCGTCCATCCTTAGACCATCAGAGCATTGCGGAACCGATCAATTTCCAAAACGCTTCCGTATTCCTCGTAGCAGACGAGCGTGACGGGGCATGGTAGGGGTTCTGCAAACTGAAGTTCAAGTCCCAACTTGCCCGTCTGTCGTGGGTACTTACATCTGCACCCTTCATCTGCGCCCAGATCCGCCGTCAGATCCACCACCCACACAGTGAATCCGTTCCTGAATTCGTCCAGGGTGAGGTTGCAGGGATGTTCTTGCCACAGGTGTCCCGTGTTGCGGAACAGGTTCATGTACAACTGTTTGAGCGAGGCACTGTTGTTCTGAAAGTCGCTTTTGATTTCAGTGCCATGCACTTCCTGCCCATTGAGTTTCAGCTTGAGGCTGGTCACGTTGTTGTGCTTGAAATGGTAGGGGTTGTTTTCCTTGCTGCCAGCAAAAGCATCATTGTCCACCAATCCCAACACCACTCGTTTGGGCAGTTGGCCTCCAATCAGTTGATCTTTGTGAAAATCGCGTCCTCCTCCTGAAATGTCGTGGGCTGTGACTTGGACTCGGGTCAAAGGATATTTGGCCGTGACTCCGGGTGACATGTGTTTCACGTGTTGTTCCCGTATGGCAGGATCAATGTTGACTTGGCGCACGTAAAACTCGGCTTTGGTCAGTTCAAATCGACACTCGGCATCTCCAGCACTCATCAAGTAGAAATCACTCGGACTGCGAATCAGTTCTAGTTTCATGGGGACTCCATCCACCAGGTACCAGTCTTGGAGAAACAGGTCACAGTGGAGACGTCCTGTCAGTTCCACGTCTCGGATGGGTAGAATGACCCCTCGTCGTGCAACAAGTCCTGCGTTGGCATTCTGGGCGACAGCATTAAAGTGATCCATTTTTCCAGCTTCATCGGTGTACCATCCTGGACATTGGAGATGGGTCCCTTTGGCTGCCTTCCCATAACTCAGCAACGTTTCCAAATAGGCTCGGTAGGGATAGGTACCCATTGAAGGAGTAATTTCCAGCTGGTTGTGTCCCACTTGCACACGCACTTCACGAAAGAGGGAATGCATCATGTTGTTCACCATGGACACGGCGAGTGCCCCATCGCCATCACGAACTGCATCCGTACCATCTGTATTCTTGATTTTGAGGCAGATGCGGAGGTAACACTGGCTCAAATCGATGTAGGCATTGACAGGGTTAGCAATGTTAAATTGGAGGGGGCCCGCGACCGAAGGGGGTGCCAGAGTGCTGTATCTAATCCACTGACCTTCTTGGACGGAAGTCACTACAGGGGGCACAGAAAAGAGATCCAGTTGGGCCTTGGAACATTCACAGGCATCTCGGCGCATCATCTTGACAGCTGATCTGGACAACAGGTCTGCACAACAGGTCTTGACCGTACGGTGTCTGGTGTTGAACTGAACTCCTTTCCCATCGGGGTGGGGCTTTATCTCTTTCTCTCAAAACAATGGTTTACCTTTCTTGGTGAATCCCACGGTCTGTTTCCGTTTTCGTTTGCGAGCGGGTGATCCTGGTGGCGGTGGGTCCTGTCGCAAGGTGGCAAGTAAGGCTTGTTTCCCATGATGTTTCGAACTGTCCCCCACACTTCGGTGTCCTGAACTGATATCTTGCACCAATCCTGGCAACATCTTGACGCCTGTTTTGAGAGCTGATTTTCCCACCGTCTTGAGGATGGAGAGCGCTGAACGTCCCAAGTTTCCCAAG